CGCGTTGTTGTTATATGTATACATCGTATAAATCTTTCCGGGGCAAAATTACACGGTGCTTTAAACGTCTTGCGAGCTGTACGGGGCGTTATCGTGACTCTCGAGCGAAGATTAACGAATGATCTCGTTTCGTCGACTGGGAAGATGGAAAGAGAGACGGAACTCTGGAAAGCGCGGCTAGCTGCGTTCAAACATTATCTCCTACCGTGATATATCAGTCAATTCTTCTATAAACAGAACAGAGCCGCGTTATCGGCAATCCATGTTACGGAATACGACGGAGAGAATCGCGTTTGAATTGCCGCGAGCGTTTTTCCTCAGCGCGCAGATACATCGATTCGCGCCGTTCAGCTGTAAGGATCCATTCGATAGCGTTTCTGCGGGATGACGTCATGAGAATATTAACGGCGCATGAAATTCTGACGATTCTGTACTTACAATGCGAATAACGAGCGGCACGCGTTGTTTTTGGCACGCGAAATTAACTACGATGCGCCCACCCATCTCGCGCGTCTGTCGACAATATTTTTTAACCGGCAGTTTGCACCGGTAGTTGTGTGTGTTAGGCCCAGTTTTTTTCTGTCATGGTTAACTTGTGATTATGGACTTATAATAATGTAAACATTGTATTTTCCTGGCTGTGTTATCATCACTAAATTGATGTTTTTTGTAGTAAGTAACTAGTTGCTATTGCGAAACGATTGGTTTAATTAGTGATTAATTACAATTTTTCATTTTGTTCTAATAAGAATTTAAGGCTAGTATTTCGTTCTTGTATTTAAGATCATTTTATTTAAGTACGGTTTTAAGAGTTATAAATTAATCACAGTGTCGAATTAGCTTAATCCTTTAATCACTTTATATTGTTTTATCACTATCACAGTGAGTGAAAAATATACTATAAAAATGAATATATAACAATGCTCTTTTCCATTATAATGTCATGTATCAAGAAATATAACGATATAAGCAAAAGTATGTATCTTTATTAATAAAGAAGGCATTATAGCATAGCACACAGTAAAAGAAATCTTGGGTATGTCACATTAGGAGCGAAAGATAATCTTGAAAAATGACCAGATGAGTACCAACTTAAGAATTTTTATTACTTGAAGGAATTCATGAAAAATTCCAAAAATGCAACTTGTTCATACATCAATTCGAATATTCGAGAAACCAGCGATAAATGCGAAGTTGTTTATTAAAGTCAAGCTTAATATAGCATTCTACAAAATCTATTATTTACTTGTCGGATCATTTACATTTCGAAAAACGTTTCTTTCGTTTGCCGATAAACGTTTGTTATTATGGCATACGTTTGAGTGTTATCGATAATGTTCGAAGGTATCGCTGCGGCCTCGTTGCGATAATAAAAAGTTCGAAAAACGATAATCTCATTCGCTATGCCCGCGATAGCGTTTTCAACGAATACTCGTACATTCACCCTGTGATGATAACAGTCGTAACGTATCTGATCCTCCATTACAGAATGGTATATATAAGAAATTAAACTTCATGTTTAAAATCTACTTCCGAGTATTTTTATCGAGCGTTAGAAACTGAAGAATAACTGTGAAGGAAAAGACTTTTGAAGATTTAAACTTTATACTAGAAAATATTATTCGATTGCTATATACAACAACATCATTCAATCGAAAAACGAAGTTTTCCGATGAAGATGAGTTTGAAATCTCATTCAAATTTTTGAATATTAATCTTAAAATATAATTTTGATGTGATAATTAATTATAGAGGAATAAAAAAAATTTTTTTTTTACGTTTCCATTCTTTTCCTGCAATCAAAATTTTAGAATATTAATCATAAAATAGAATTTTGGTGTAACAATTAATTGTGAAGGAATAAAAATATCTCTTTTTTTCTTTATCTGCGATTAACTAAAAAAGTGACAATTTTATTTATAATTAAGTTGTAGTAAACATACGATATGATTAATAGTGAAGATATCTTACCACATCTTATTCACGGAAAAATGATGTGTTGACAATATTAATCTAATTGAAAATAATTTTGTTAATTTAATCACAATAGTAACGAGAAATAAAATTTTATCAAAATAAGAGCGTATCATATTTGCTTAATTAAAATACTATGTACATTATATATTTGCATATTTATATTATATTCGATTGCGCATATATTGTATCAAATAAAAGAAAATAACAAATGTACATATTGATACGGATCGAAAAACATAGAAATATTAATACAAATTGTATCGATTATTATTTCCTTAAATTTTTGCAACGTTAAACAAATATCAAGATACCGGAGTTTTCGCCCATGTATTCTCCCTTGGACTACTGCGTGTTGTTGAAGTAGTTTAACTGTAAAAGTAATTAACATTTGACGCAATTAGCACGTGATTTAAATTCCCCTAGTGGTCTTCGCGGTTGAGGATCGCTTTAAAACACGGTATGCAGAGCAAAGCGGATCTCTCTCGATTATTAGTAGAAAAAAAAACAGATGAAGTTGTCACGATAGACATGCGTTACTATCGTTTTATAAGCTCGTTTGTCGGTATTCGTTTAATCGGCATTAGTCAACTGAGTTTATTTGATGCGAAACGTTTAATTTTCCTGTCACGCGAGTGATAACGTGAATTAAAGTGCGTATTCAGGAAACTTGGAAAGGAAAAGAAAGAAAGAGAGAGGCAACACTCTATGAAAAAAAGTCATCTTTTAAAAGACTAATGAAAAAGGACTATGGAGTAATTATAGAGTGCTAGGAATAAGGAGTAATTATAGAGAGATATAAATAAGACTAGATAGAGCGATAGAAATAAAATTAAAATTTATCTCGTATAAATCTATCAATTACACGTCAAAGAACATCAGCTTTGGAAGTGTCGCACTTTTCTCTTACACAATTCAAATTAGAGATTCGAGTCCTATAATATCCAGAAAATTGAGCGCGTTATTTGCAGTTGACGCAATTACTTCAATCGCAATTGCCTCATAAATTAAGCCACTAGCTTAACTATGTCTGACGGAAATGTAGAGGCCAATTGCTGTTGTTCATCTAATGCCGTGTTCGGCATTAGACGAAACACTCTGACCGCGTTACATGTGTGTCGCCATTAAATTTAAGAAAAGAAGAGGGAGAGAGAGATTACTTTTGCGATGCACGATCGTTTTGACGAATCATATCGATGTTATAATCTACTGAAAAAAAATTATTAAATATATATTTGTCAATAATATATATTTGTTAATAAATTCTTGCATTAATAAATATTAGTACTAACTAAATATTTATTAAATGTAGTAACACATATATTTATTTGGTACAAGAACTATCAATTTGTGATTTAAGTCTTATTTTTTTTATTAAATAAATATTTACTGTAAATAAATTTTACGAGTACTATTTAGGGATTTTCAAATAAGAGATGAACATCGTTTGATCCGCTATATTTTTCGTGACTTGCTTAAGATAGAATGAGATAGATTATGCATAGGCTAGGATGAGACACCCACGCATCTCATTCTATCTTAAGCGTCTTGAAAAATATGGCAGATCAATCAGAAGTTGTCTAAATGATATCCAATCTCTTAAAAATCTGTAGTACTATTTATAAACATATACTTATTAAAATTTATATTAAGATTTATCACATTTTTTTCAGCATTTTTTTTCAGCACACACGTAAGGAACATGTTTATCGCATGCATAACGAAGAAATGTGCAACGCGATGGACACGCGTGCAGATGTATATGAGCGTACACGCATTATGTGTCCAAGGGCGGGAAAAATAAATGTTGCGTGTTTTCTTTCAGCAAGTTTCTCGTCGACGGAAGTTGTTCCGCGCGCGGACTCTATCTCTAGTTTTAGTTCCCTTTCCGTCTCCGTCCATCTCTCTTTTTATCTGAGAAATGACGAAAAAGTGCACGCTTCGCGATTGCGTAAATAAAAGTTTCCGTTCTGTTTTCCGACGCGCTGATAATCTTAACTGCCTCGGAATTACGCTTCGACATTCGGAACATTCGGAAAGCGGACGCGCTAATTATTATGCTCAATTGTTCGCACGTCGCAATTGTGACTTCAACGATATAGTCCTATATTTTACACTAGAAAAAAAGTTGATTGAATCAGCCTGAAATACGTATAACAATTAAACTGTTTTACAAAATATGAATCATTTTTTATGATGAATAATTTTTTGGTTAAAATAATCTGACAAAGATTGCATAAATTCTGATGAAAATAACAACTTTTAGAATACTAAATTATTTAATTGTGATAATCAGAAATTCTGTTTAGCTCTAGTCCTTTAACCATACATGTCATATTAAAATCTAATCATACTCTTTTTTCATTCGTCATAATAATAATAAAATATTTGATTACAAGAAAACAATATTAAGAATTTTTATTTTGGACTGCATATGTGAGAAACACAATCAATACTAGACAAATGTCTATTACGGTTGATGCTGGATCTTCATTACTTTAAATAATTCAATCTTGAATTACTAATATATACTATACGTACTTGCATATATACCATATATATGTATTTTTTTGTGCGCCGAATTGTTTTTCTAGGGGAAATAAATTTATTTATTAACAGTTTCAATATATTAATATCTTTATAATATGATGCTTGATGATAACATCAAATTATTAAATTGCTTGTCAATTTAATTCGCGATTACTAGAGTAGTTTTAATTGCGTTTATAGTCCGGAAAAACAATTCGGTGCGTAGTTCTAAAAAGACTACAATATGGTAAAGCAATGAAGATCCAGCTTCGACCGTAATAAGCATTTTTCTAGTACTGATTGTATTTCTCACATATGTGATCCAAAATAAAGATTCTTAATATTATTTATATTATGTCGCCAGAAAGAAAGACGTTGTTTCCTTATTGTGTACCGATTATTGCGAAGAATTACCAAGACCTCGGTGGCTTAGGACGCTCGTACAGAATACAAGAAAAGTTCTTCCATCAAAATTTGCACAATCAAACACATCTTTGTTAATTCAATCATGATTGTTTTTTTCCGTGTATAATTCTTACGTGCTGGTATCATTATATTGTACAGCTTTTCTACTTGCGCAATGACAACATAACGACATCGACGCTATCATTAAGAGTTACAAAATAGGGGTACTGTTGTTTATATTTTACTGGATAGCGTTAATGACCAAGTGTCGACGCCGAGTCAATTTGTACATTATCGAGACGCGTTTGAAATATAGTCCCACGTCGCGGATAAGCGGAACAGGGAGCTGATGCACACGCGAGAGAACGTCGAGGTACGAGAGGAGAGTTTACGACTCGTCGGGGTAACCTTGGATGTAATAGCGGAGGCGCACAATGTCGGGTCGTCGTCTTTCACGTCGTTCCCTCCGTTCTTCTGGGACACCCACGTTTAACGTACCGCGATTTGCTCGCGCGATATTGAACAAATGTCGGTTTTCCAATCATCCATCTAGAGTTTCCCATCATCCATTTAAACGCCGATTTTTATCAAAGCTTGACTTTTCATCCACCTTGATGTCGTTTTAATTTTATAGATGATGTTTGCAATGTTAGTCATTTTGAAACTTCATAAGAATCTGAAAATATTAAGCAAAAATGTATATTCAACATAAAAAAGCGAAAAAGGCTATACTTGGTCAAAGTGGGTCTTGATGTCTAATAATATTTTTGTGTGAATTTTATAATTTTATAGTTAAAAAATCTAGCTTTTGAAAAACTGACTTTTTAATATTACAGTTGTAAAAATTAAAAAGCTTTTTCAGTCTTTTCCCAAAAGTTAGATTTTTTTACTTATGATATTTCTCAAATGACTGATTCAAATATAATATATAAAATGATAAGATTCTGATGAATAAATCAATCACGATATAAGAGAGAAACATGAAGCGTCAACACTTTGTTGTTGCGACTAATATTTACAAAATTCTAATTATAAAATAATGACAAAATATAGTATTAAAAATATTAATTTTAATTTAAAGACGTATAGCGGGCTTTCTAGAGACATGCAAAATTTTTATGTTAATTTTAAATTTTAGTTTAAAATTAACATTTTATATTTAACAGTGTATATGCCAAATCATATGTAGAATTTTCAGAGCGAGTTAAAGATTATCTAAAATGGTCTTCAGACTGTCCGATCTCGGTCTACTCATCCCTGATCGCTTTTGCAGCCTCCGGTCCTTCCTCGCCGCATGTTCGCATTCCTAACTGATTAATCTGTGAAACCGCGATGCGAAATCGTGCTACGTCGGTCGTCGACTGGAAGAGGAGGCGTTCGTCGACGATGCAACATCCTTCATCGAATATAATATATCATGATAGATTAATGTAGTTGCTAATCATTATCACAATCGACATTGATGATCACTTCGGTTTGACGATGCTTGAAAGTCCATCTTGTTTTTTTGTCTTTTAGAAATTGATTACAACTAATAGCAATGAAGTTCGTTTGTAGCTCTGAGTACACATTCATATTTTTTTTATTAAATATAAATATTTTATTAAATAAATAATTTACATATTCATAGCAGCGAGATAAATCTCATTAAAAAGATTGTCGCTTGTTTATTGAAATTAATGGATGATTTTGAAAAAATCATAAATATATATCCGATATCAGTAATGAAAGAGAGATTTAAATCGGAAAATTTCACTTTCCTTTGGTTATTAAAATTTCTTTTGGTTTTATAGGAATTAAGATCGACTTTGCTCGCATAATTAATTTAATCTGCAATTAATTTAACGATCGATGTTTATTTCTACCTGTATATTAATTTTAGTCTCTATTTGACAGACTTTTTATCTTCTTTTAGTAAAAATTGAAAAAAAAGGATGAAGAGTAAATTAAACACAGATTAAAGTTTTAAATTGATAAAAATCTACATCGATGATAAAAATGTGTCGGAATTGCTAACATTATAGCAAAACTTCTACATAATTTATTCAATATGAAACTTTCCATGTATCGAACAACAAAAAAGTTCATAATTCTATCCATCGTTAACAAGATAGCACAGCTGTTACTTGACAAGTTAATTGGCGAGTAAGCTAATCGGTTAGGTTGAAGTTATCCAAGTATTAACTAAATGGACGATTAGCTTATCGCGTAACACCTACTTATTTTATTTAATGTATACAGAGTGTACAATTTTTTTTCGTCGCGTGAGAAAAGGAGAATTGGATTAAAGGGACGACGAATCGACACAGAGGTAGAAATCTTGCTTAACCATGATACGAGAGATATTATAGGCGTTGCGACGTCTATGCGCACGCCGAGGAACGCGGCCATCTTCCAGCGGTCGCGCGAACGAGCGCGATATGCGTCGCCGTTTCGTTGCATATCGACCGTCGCGAAAGTACGAAAAGGGGATTGCGAAAGCGCCAGCGGGCGCAGTGGCGCAACGACGTGACGTGACGCGACGCGACGCGACGCGACGCGACGCCGCGCCGCACCGCGCCGTGCAGATGAGCCGCGCGTTATTTACTTTGCCAGGGAACAGAATCACGATTCTCTCTAGCCGTTGTCACGCGAGCAATGTCGCGCGAGGACTGCAACGGCGAACCTGCGGGAATGCTGCTCTCCGTTCGGCGTTGCACATTCTTGAAAGAACGGACAAGCCGCGGCGAATATGTACGTTCTACTCGCGGCTTGAGTGCCACTCAAGTCTATGCTGAACATCGAAATGCATCGCCGACTGTCGCAGCACCTCGAGCTTGAAATTACGTTGACGTTGACGTTCTGGACTGAGAGAAATGTTTTGTATGTGACTTACAAAAACTTTCTTTTTATTTTAGACGTTTTGTCAGAATAATCAAATTTTGATTAGAACGAAATTTTTAACTTATAAAAATATTCTTATTTTTTAATTTAGAAATTCTGTTCTCTAGAGTAATAAAAGTAAGAAAGTCTTTGTAAATCATACGTACGATGTATCATACGAAACATTTCTCTCGGTGTACATTGAAGATTAATTACGGATTGGAGATTAGAATTCAACTAATCTAAATAAAAAATGGATTTAAGATTACCTCTCCAGTAACGTAATTAAGCAAGAAATTCGTATTTTGTTCCTCAGTAACATCTACCTGGATTTCTTATTTTAGTTACCTTAGCTACGTCGCAGAAGAGCTTTTATTTGCAGAATAACATGAATATATGGAGCGAGCATTAAGCGTGATTTTCGCGCGGTAATGTTGGTACCTCTCAGTATCGTGTTGCTGTCCTAGGAGTCTCACCTAGCTTTACCTCCTACACTCCGCTTATCTTCGATCGAACTATCCGCACAACTATATCATGAAAACAACCTCATGCGAACAAGCGGAACAAGCGTGTCCGAGAATACTTCTCTCTCTCTCTCTCTCTCTCTCTCTCTCTCTCTCTCTCTCTTCTCTGTCTCAAACTTATATATTTAAATTTTATTTTATTGAATAAGAAACTACACATTATATTGTATACAAATGTATGATTTAAATTCTCACAATGAATTGTAAAAATCTTCAAGTAAAACAATGAATTATATATTTATATAATTCAACGTTGTTTTCGACAATTCCATGTTTCCTAAAAATTTTAATTATATATTCCAATTACATTTCTTTTTCTTCTCTTTTTATTTATTCTGCCCATTCCATGCGATTATTGCCGCTTATTCGTTCCAATGCGCAACTGTGGCCATCCCAAAGTGTTGAATAAAACTAATTTTAACAAGTACGGGTTCTCTTCTTTCCCTCTCTTTTTCTGTATCTCTTTTTCTTCATCCTTCCTATGGTAGCATCAGTATCCAGCTCGCGTCACATTGTCTCTTGTATCTCGATATACTTCCATCGGTGTTTCGTCCCCCTTCTCCCTCTCCCTCCCCCGTTCTCCATCTCCTTCCTCCACCCCGGCGTCGTTCCGTGAACCCGCAGTGAAGACAGCGTAAAAGTGAAGAGAGGGTAGCGAGATACCGGTTATTGGCGGGGACTGGCATATTTCACCGGGTGTCCGGCAATCAGGCCTTTGTGTACGGCTCACTGCACACCGTTGCATACCCATGCGCGTGCTACGAGAAAGGTGGAGAACCGCGGAGGTGGGGGCGAAGGAAAGATGAGGACGTAGGGGGTCGAGGGAGGTGGGGACGGAGGGGAAGGCGGCAGGGAAGAAGTGAGAGCGACCGAGAAACGGAACGTTTATTCAACGGCGTGGAACTAGTCATAGGTGCATTCGGCCGGAGGGGGTGGGAGGGTGGAGAATATACCCGAAAGTGTCTAGATGACGCGTATCTAACCGCGCGTATCCGCGCAATCGATATTTTCCGGCCACCGCAAGCTGCTTAAAAAAAAAAAAAATAAAAAAAAACCATACCTATCAACTTTCGAGGGATCCTGGAGTCTCTCTTGTTAGAAATTTTTCCAGACGCTGTCCTTTGCGCTTTCTAGATTTTGGAAAAAAAAACATTCCTGGTAAAAATTACCAGGAATGATTCTGGCAGGATAAAGAATTTTAATATTACAAGTACATTTGTAATTAATAAAGTTGTACTCAAGTCCATTTGAATCTGAATGAAGAATAAGACGTGAAGTTGGTTGCGGATAGCGCGAGAATCTTGACGGGGATTATTAAAAGCTTCTTGATTCTAAATTCTGTAAATCTTGTAAGCTGGGATAGGCACTAAGTTCATCTCGGTTCGCGGATAAACGTTGGATGCTTTCAAGTAAATACGAAAAGTTTACGTTTCGAGAAAGTATCTGTGTCCGGCGTAACCGGATATTCTGTTTTGCGAGTAGTAGTCCATTTTCCATCCGAGTGCTCTAGTGCTGCATCTTTAATGACTCTTCGCCATGGCAGCGTGGGGCTGTCATTCGATTTATATTGCCTGCGGTTGCCTGTGGATAATGCTGGAATCATTAGATGGCCTAGGCTGACACGCGATTTACATGTATATGCGTATTCGCCATTAAGTGGCCTCTCCTCTCGCTCTCTCCTCCCGCTACACTCCCTCTTCTCCCCTTCTTATGCCATCATCCATGCTGTGAACACAGGAACGGATTCGAACATCCGTATACCCCCAGGATGAGACTTGACTTAACGTTTGCTTCATTCGATTTCTTAAAAAAAATCACTATATTTTATATTTATTTTTTCTATAAAAGTTCTACTCTATATTTTTTGAATGAAATCTCACTCTAAAGAGTGAAAATTGAACCGGTCTTGAAAAAAGTGGCTCAATTTTTAAGATTTCATTCTTTAGAATGAGATTCACTCTAAAAGGTTTAGAGAGTAATGATGCTATTCGATTGAAAAGAATCGGAATACAGAATGTCTTAGACAGTAACGTTTCGATGTTTAATAACAGATTTACTCTCCATTTTCATCCGTAAGCGTATTTGCGTCGCAAGATTTTTGTTGACTCTTAGAAGTATCTCGATTTAAGAGTTTAAAAACTTCGGAACTGACGGTGGGTCTAATAAATAGACTCAAGCTCATTTATAAATTATTTTATCAAAAAAATTTAATTTTCTTTATGTGCATCTGCAAATTTAGATTATTTTTAATAAAGTATATTTAGTATTCAACTCTTTTTATAAAAGATACGTCATTTTGATTCTTTCAAATTAATTAGCGTCTTTTAATTAATGAATGGATCTTACAGATCTGGTATCAGTAACGGTTTTAGAAATTTTAATTAAACTCCGGAGAATTAAGTGAGAATTAAGAATTAGTTACAGACAGATCTTATATCTATGATCGATTGGAGTTTGATCTTAGGTGTGATCTTAAGACTCCATCCAGCCAATATATGAAACGATCATACAGCGTCTCGCGATCGTACTCGAGACAACCTTAAATGTAAGATCGTATTACGAATGCCTTCCTAAGTGATTCGCGATGATGAGATAAGTTGGCTGTATCAAGTCCGGTCCTGCATCCGTGACGTTTGCGCGGCAGTCAAGCTCAGGCTGGCTAACACGGCGACGGAATGCGCGCCGCGGAGTCGCGCACGCGCGCGAGAGCAACATCGTTTTCCTGTAACGTCGACCGTCGGGAGAGCAGACCCCGAAGGGGTCAGCGGAAGCGTCATGCGCGATCCGTTCGTTGTAAACGGCAGCGGCTTGTAAACGACGGGCGAGCGAGTAATGCGAGCAATTGATAGCGCCGCGGGGATCTGTGAAGTTAGCACACGACATTGTATTGACAGAGAAAAATATTTTAAATAACGATAAATCCAGCAGTATTTTTCATAGCTCTATAGGTCCTTATAAAAATAAAAAAAGGTTCCATATTTTTTATGTTACAAAATTGAAAACATGGGATTGTTAATTTTGGTTTTTTGATATGAAAGATGCTATACTTTTTTATTTTTATAAGGAACTGTAGAACTATGAAAAATGTTATTGGAACTGTCATTATTTATTTATTTATTTATTTTTTTTTTATATATTAATAGAATGGCGTTCGTAACCTAAATTTATGTGGATCTGTAAACAGATTGGTACAACAGTCTATTAATATAAAGAAAAACGATGACAGTTCTAGTAGCACTTTTCATAGTTTCATAGTTTTTTTTTATGAAAATAAAAAATTTGTGCATTATTTAGAAAAAAAAAATCGAAATTGGAAATGTGACGTGCTAATTTTAATTTTTTAGTATAAAAACGTAAAATTTTTTTTATTTTGATAAGAAACTATAGAACTATGACAATTGCTGGAAACTATTACTGGAACTGTCATTATTTTTTTTTATATTAAAATAGAATGCGCTAACTTTACAGATTTCGCCTCGAGCACGTATAAGCACGTATAAATGCGATCCATTTAAGTTCTCAAGACGACCTCGACCGAACTCCGATTAACTTTAATCGGCGGAATTACTCGCAACGAAACTTTTACATGATTCGTCATTCTTATGTCTATTTCCAACAATGTACATCAACATGAATCTTGGTTCAATTAGTTCTGCATCTTTTTCTAATTTTAAGAATTAGAGAAAAAGACGAAGAATAAATTAAATCGAGATTATAAAGTTAATCTATATTGGTAGAAATATCCATCAATCACGAAGTGGCTATCTCGTAATTATCGATGAAAATCAAAATGCATTGCAACGATTATCACTATACGATTCTAGTTCATCATTTTCATATATTTGATGTAACATAATTGCGTTATGTCAACAAAATTTTAATCGATTGTCGATCTCTGTAATCCAGGAATTTTTTCACAGTTTCTTTTTCGATGAAATCGAGGTTTACAATCTTCTCATCACTTAATGAAAACATTAAAATTATTTTTTTTTTATTACGAGATCGAAAGGAGGATAGTTTTATGTCTCTTTAAGTGCACATCGGTGTAATACTTAAATCTACATGTATATTGTACAGTAACTCGGAAACAAAGAAGTTTTCCACGCGTGATCGTAAATAATTCATAGTAACGCTCGACACGATGAGGTCATTGTTTCCAACAGATAAATGCGTAATAGGCGCTCCTTCGCGCTGTCATTTGCCGCGCCTAAAGAAATTTACGTTGCAGAAATACAGTACTTACAGTGCCTCACTAAGATATCGACGCATTCGCAAAAGAGTTCAATTTTTCCTATCGATATTCACGAAGTTCGCATACAGAAAATGCGATTCTATTGTTAAGAACAGTAATTAATTTTCTTCATTTTAAAGTAATGGTATTTTTAACAAAGAATATTTTCTTGATAATATTCTTGAAACATATTTATTACAAATTTAAAAAAGACATTATTATGTATTCAA